GTGTGTGTGTGTGTGCGTGTGTGCGTGTGTGTACCTACAGGGAAGGCGATTTCACACAGCTTGTGTGTCCAGTCATCCAGATGGTTCCTGTCAGCGGCGAACACGTAGATCTTCTCCGTGGTCTCCACCAGGAAGGACCCGGTGTCTTTGGGACATCCCTCCATCTCCACCTCCGTCACCCGGATACAGTCCGCCAGACGGATCACCTAGGACACGTACGTAAACACACACTATCACCTGGGTACCAGCGTGCATTATTGCTATGGTAATAACCTGGAACGATGCTGAGCCGACAAAAAGCAGCGACAGAGCGAGAGTAACGTCCAGCAGAAGAAGACGAACAGCGGCAGAGAATCGGCAGGCACGGCACAGTAGAAGAAAGAACACAGTAGAGTCCAGTAGAGTCTGCTGCACCTTCTTGTGCTCCTGCTGCTTGCGCAGGGTTTTGTCATTCTTCTCGGCGTTGCCTCCGTCTTTGCACTCGTAGAACTCCAGCCTGGAGATGGAGCAGGAGCTTTCTCTGTACAGCACGCACCACACCCGCTTCCACTTCTGTAAAGGCACGCAGGAGAATACACGTTACACAAAATGCCAACACACATGAGTAGTAAAAGGTGACCGCGGGACGGGAGGTGTGCTGACATTCTTCACATGAATAGCCTCGAACACAAACTCAGACAGCAGGTCAGTGCAGGGCAGTGACCACAGCAGAGGAAGAATACGACTAATGGTGACACAGGCGACCAATGACAGAGGTGAACAGGTGAACAGGTGGGTACCTTTCCAAACCTCTGCTGCTGGAGGTACAGCACCCCCTGCTTCCTGATGTCCTCCTCCATGACGACACCGCTGCTTCACCTCTCCTCACCTCGTCTTTCTCCGTTCCTCTTTTTGCTCCACCTTTGTCGATGTTGGCGTTCCTGCTGTCTCGCCTCCTTATATGTCTAATCCTCCTCCCTGCTCCTTAAAGGGTGAGGGTCTCCCCCTCTGGTTGTGCACGTTCTCCTCCTGCTCCTCTTCGTCTGTTTGCCTTTCGCAGCTCTTTCTCTTCTGCGTAGCGTTTACGCCGGACTTTTGTAGTTCAGGTTTGAACTTCTCCTTTACGTCTTCCTGCTCCTCTCTGGTCTCGCTCTTCGTCTGTTCCCTTTGAAGGAGCTCGATCGGTCCAGTGTGCAGGCTCTCAGCGTCTCCTCTGCTCCTTCTGTGGTTCACCTCCTCTCCTCTGCTCCCTCCCTCTGTGAGTCTGTGGTGTGAGTGTGATGCAGAGAGACGTTGAATGTGTCATGTGTGTTTCCTGCCTGTTGCAATGAGTAATGCAGAACTAACGGGCCGTGTGAACTTTGCCTGACTGCTGCTTCCTCATGCTGTCACTTTGCAGCGTTGCTTCTAACACAGCTGTTTTGGCAGCTTCAGCGTCTGCTTTGACTTTTTCACAGTTTTCTTTCACTTTTGAACCACCTGTCCCTCCGTGTGCTGAGACGATGATTGCAATAGGACCGTTTAGTGTTACGACGCCCCCTGGTGGCAGCCTGGTGTCCTTCGCGGCATACTCGTCGCTTTTCAGAACCGGAACTTTCACATTTTGTTTCGTTTTCTTTTTTGAAGCAGTTTTTGTAATTTTGACTTTTGAACTTCAGTCTGTTCATTTACAGCCTCCTGTGTTTGTTCCAGGCTCAAAGACACATTTACACTTTTCTTTCTACGGCACCAAATCACAGCTGCTCCGACTTCTGCCTGCAAACAGGAGCAGACGCCGCACTCGTGCTTAATCTCCGAGTGAGTGAGTGTG